GCAGCTCGAGAAGGATATGCGCCTCTTCAACGCATTCCTCAAGGACTCCACCAAGAAGCGGCGGAAGGACCTCCGCCTCCGGGAGCTTTCCCGGGAGATTCGCGACGTGGTGTACGAGGCGGAGGACGTCATCGACGCCTTTGTGACACAGGCGGCGGAGACCAAGTCGAAGAAATACTTCCTCAGGTCCATGCACAAGCCGCTCAAGCTCATGAACATCGCTGAGCAGGTGGAGGGCGTCCGGGCCAAGGTCAACGAGATCTATGGCGATAAGAGCTTCATCGACTTTTCTACCCTCAATATTGGAGATGAAAAGCCGGACGAGATCGAGGTAATTTCTGCGACTCAAATTTGCCCAAAATTAGGGATTTAAGATGTGGGGCTCTGCGGTGCTCACTTAAACAGCACACATTGCTGTGCAATATCTACCTTTGGATATTAAAAGATCCAACGGCTACAATTTTTGTACAAAACAAAATTTACATGTCAAAAAAGTAAGAGCACCCCTCAAAAAATCCGCAAACCAAATTTACCGATAAATCAAAAGAATCTCTCTATCTTAATTTTTCTCTAAAATTCACAGAGAAAGAACAAAAAAATGCATCATCCATGAGTGAATTATTGATCTTTTTTTTTTTTTTACAAAGAGAATGTTATTTGGTTTTGTATGGATTTTCAATATTATATCTTTCATGTGTAATTTAATTTCGTGTGGTTAATTTCTTTATTTCTTGGGTAATTTCACATTCTTTTGAATTTTTATGTTGTTCCGGGTGTTTTATCGGTGAATATTTTTTTTATTTAATTTAGTTTCTTGGTGATGAGTGACAATGGTGATAAAAAAAGTGGCAGGAACATTTTTATCTATTACAAAAAAATTATCAAATGTGTTGGAAAAGATGTCTGTTGTTTTGTGTCGATTTATTTCTTTTTCTTTTTTTTTTAAAGTGTTCTTTAATTTTAATTTTATAAGAAATAAAGTTTTGACCATTAGATATATTTTTAATGTATCCAACAGTTGATATTGCACTACAGATGTCTGCTATCTCACCGTAGAGACCTCCATGGGAATAAACGTTATTTAATTTCGCACCAAAATTTTCAAGATTTCCTTATTAATTCCATAATTTGTTTTCAAACTTCCTATATAAGCTATGTCTGATTCTATCTTATTCTAGTTAAGAATATTGAATGTGGGATTTTTGAGGTTGTATGTACCCGGCTTAACCGGGTCGACCGACGATATTCTATGCACAAATATGCATGCTTATACTATCAAATGTCATACTTTTGATTACAATGGTTTTCTAAAATATTACATTTTCTATCATAAGTATGCAGATTTATGAGAAGATTTGGTTGGCCTAATGGTGAATGGTGCTCCTGTGAAAAAAACTTGGACTTCCTTGAGAAGTCTAAATTTAGAAAAAACACATGTTTTATGTTAAAGGTTATCTTTGTTTATGACTTGTGGTTTATGGATGATTGCTACGTAAATTGTATAATATTATATTAATCGAGTTCAAGTTGAAGTTCTGCTCGAACCCGGTACCTTTTACACTTTTTTGTTGTTTCTTTTTATCGCCTTATCCTTCTTCCCCTAACTATCAAAGAGAAAATTCAATTTATTTTGAACACTCCCCTAACTCAATGAACAAGTTCACCTTTTTTTTTTTTTTATTATTATTATTATTCTTGTTTTATATATGTCACATAAGGGGAGGGCATGAGGTGCTGGAGTCTAAATTTATGAGTGGCAACCTCTTAAATCTAAATAAAATATCATATATTTCTTTTAGTATATGTGCTTCTTCCAAGGTACTAGCCAGTTCTTGTTTCCTACTGATTTTCTTGCGAAACATTTTCAAAACAGGAACCAATAGTGATACACAAAAATGTGGTCCGTTTTGAGGACGAGGCAGAGAAAATAATTGGGTACCTCAACGAGAGGACCGAACAACTCGATGTCATCTCCATAATCGGCATGCCCGGCCTTGGCAAGACGACCTTGGCACGAAAAATCTTCCGTGATCGGAACATCGCGTTCGAGTTCCCCACTCGCATATGGGTTTATATTTCCCAAGAATTCACGAAGAAAGACATCTTTTTAGCCATCTTAAAAGAGTTTACTACGATCACTGAGGACATTTACAACAAAAGTGATCGGGAGCTGGCTCAACTGGTGGCTTCTCATTTAGTGATACGGAAATTCTTGATTGTCATGGACGATGTGTGGACAGCCAACGATTGGGACAAGCTTCAAATCGCTCTTCCAAAGGGTAACAAGATGGGAAAAGTCTTGATCACCAGCCGCCATGAGGAGGTGGCTCGGTACGCCAACCGGGATAGGCCTCCCCACAAGCTGCGTTTCTCGACTCATGATGAGAGTTGGGAGTTGCGGCAACTCGAGGTCTTTGGCAAGCGTGATTGTCCTTCCGATCTTGGGGTTTTTGGGAAGCTAATCGTCAACCAGTGTTGTTGGCTGCCCCTCGCCATAGTGATCATTGGGGGTATTTTAGTCAAAAGATTCTCATCGTCTGATAATATCAGCGTGAAAAGGAACGCATGGGAAAAGGTATCAGAGATTGTGCACAGTTACTTCACGGAGGAGGACCCTGAGAAACGCATGGTGGAGATAATAGCCCTGAGTTACGATAAACTGCCCTATCACCTGAGGGCGTGTTTTCTCTATTTCGGGATGTTTCCGGAGGATTACGAGATCCCTGTGTGGAAATTGATCCGCATGTGGATTGCCGAAGGATTTATCCAACAAAAAACCGATTATACTCTGGAGGAGACTGCGGAGAGCTATCTCGAGGAGCTCATCAGCCTGAATTTAATTATGGTCGAAAAGAGGAAGCCCAATGGCAAGGTCAAGACGTGCCTCATCCACAACACGGTCCGTGAGTTCTGCAAGACTGAGGCCGAGAATGAGGGAGAAAATTTCCTCCAGGAGATTAAAAAGTCGAGCGAGGGGTGCTTCTATCCTCCTGTCTGTGAGAAATATCGTCGGCTCTGCATCCACTCCGACGTTCTGGAGTTTGTCTCCTCTAAGCTACTCTACGGACACCGTATCCGCTCTTTCGCCTGTTTCTCGAAAGAGGAGATCGACCTCCCGGCATCGAGTCTCTCCCACATCCCCTCGGCCTTCAAGCTCCTCCGGGTCTTAGAAGCCGAGCCCATGAAGTTCTCCAAGATCCCTTCCGAGCTGTATCAGCTGTTTCACCTGAGGTACATCACGCTGTCCTACACCTCGCCCACCCTTCCCTCCTACTTCGCCAAATTATGGAACCTGCAAACCCTGGTGGTTGACACTACATGCCGTACGCTCGACATCAAAGCTGATATCTGGAAAATGACCCAACTTAGGCACATCAAAACGAATGCATCCGCATTGCTGCCCGCGCCCGAGACGGCGGGCAAAGATGGCGAGAAGCTACAGACCCTTGGCTTCATCTCCCCGCAGAGCTGCACGGAGGAAATCCTCAACCGGGCCCGCAACCTGAAGAGGCTTGGCATTCGTGGCCGCCTGGCCCTGCTTTTAGAAGGAAAAGTCGGGTCGTTCGACAGCCTTGCAAAGATGGCATGCCTCGAGAAGTTGAAGCTCGTGAATGACTTCTTCCCTAGCCTGGCTTCCGAGGGCCATTTGCGGTTGCTTCCTCAGCATTACAAGTTCCCGCCGAAACTCCGGAGCCTTACTCTGTCTGAAACATTTCTCGAATGGAGCCAAATGTCCACCTTGGGCTTGCTCGACAGCCTCGAGGTGCTGAAGCTGAAGGATTGGGCTTTCAAGGGAAAGTATTGGGAGGCGGCTGACGGAGGATTCCGCCGCCTGGAAGTGCTGTTTATTGGGCGGACAGATCTGGTCGTGTGGAAGGCCTCGGGACATCAGTTCCCGAGGCTCAGGCGGCTCGAGCTGGAGAACTGTGAGGAGCTTGGGGAGATTCCAATTGGACTGGCGGATGTGCCGAGCCTGCAGTTGTTGGACGTTTACCGTTGTAGATCTGCAGTTGGGTCCGCCAAAAGAATCAGTGAGGCCATACTGAAGAAGCAAGAGGACCAAACTCAAGTTGCTGGAGAGGGCATGTTCAAGCTCACCATTTTTCCTCCGGCGGACGAGTTGTTGGCTTGACGGTACGGGACTGAAAACTTCTTTTTTATTCACACGTTTCGATATTAGTCTGCGTTACTCACAGAAAATTTTATTACAAGCTTTGGGAGATAATTTTTGTTTTGTTGATTCCCATTTTTCTTACAACTAGTTCTGGTGTACATGCTACTCTTATAGTTTCACACACTGTTATATGACATGTGAGTCCCTTTTAAGTTTTGATGGGTAGACTATTACAACATTACTATACCACAAACAATTCAAAAGGAAAAACAAAGAAANNNAAAAAAAAAAAAAAAAAAGAACATAAATAAAATAAAATGGTGAAATATAATATGACAATCCAAAAGTTTTTGCGCTTGGATATTATTACACAATTGACCAAACAAATTTGTGATCCGTAGTACCTCACAATTTGTACATAATTAGAGTTTATTTTTAAACATAAATAATGTCAAGGGGGACGTTATCTTAATCAACAATATGTATTTTTACTATTTTGATCAACTGCAAATGTAAGCTTAAATAAAGCCACATTTTAAAAATAGTTTACTATATCAACAATTAATCATCCAGACGCTTTGGCCGAGTGGTTAAGGCGTGTGCCTGCTAAGTACATGGGGTTTCCCCGCGAGAGTTCGAATCTCTCAGGCGTCGTTTAATTTTTTGCCTTAAATTCCCCCTTCTCCATCAAGATACACATTTTTGTATTGCGAATTTTTTCACATTTTTGTACTGCGAAATTATTATTTTACCCCTTACTTTTCTACCCATTATTGAGCAAAAATGCCGCTCCTAGGGTTCGAACTTGGGCCAAAATTTCAATGAGCAAAGCTCCACACAACTCTGCTACCATCGAGCAATAGCTTCTCCTAACGTCGATCTTTTACCCTATTGTATTGAATAAAATTTATGCTACACATGTAACACACATTTATATAAAAATATAGAACACAAGAAAACTTAATCAAACAATTTTTTTTAAAAAAAAAAACAATCACAAAATATATAAAAATAAAATGTTAACTTCATTTAAATAAATTAAAAATATATAAATATGAAATAATTTTTATTATAATAAATATACGTTTTTATGAATTGAAGTAATATAACATATATAAATAAAATTAACCTAAATCAAATTAAGTTAAATTTAATTTATTTATAATAAAATAAAATGGTTATTTTAAATAATATATTACTAAAGTAGTTTGTAAGTAAAACATTTTGTATTCAATAATTATATATGAATTGTATAAATTTTTTTATTCATTTATATTACTCTATTTTTTTAAAATGTTCAATAAATATATAAAATTTATTTTTTTCAATAAAATTCTTATTTTGAATTTGTATAGAATTAATTTAAGTATAATAAATAATATATAATAAATAAATTATAATAAAAATGTATAATAAATAAAAATAATATATATAATTATAAAAATAATTATAATATCAAGTATCCTTTGTTATGAGCTTTAAATAATATAAAATATACTTTTTGATAATTTTAATTATTGTTAAATACGAATAAATATAATCGTATATAAAATTTTAACCTTATTTATAATTTAAAATCTCTTTATTTCGTCATTGTATTATTTATAATTTTGAGTATATTTACTTAAATATTATCTCATTTATAATTTTGATTCTAATTTATTCAATTATTATAAATATTTATAAGTTAGAATATAATAACT